GGGGTGCGTGTGCTCTGCCCGGGGCCCTCCGCGGGGGAGCAGGAGCACAGCGTGGGGACGAGGGCTGTGAGTGGAAGCGCAGCAGCGGGCGCTGAGCAGCTGGTGTTAGGGTGACCGTTTAGCGCCCTGGTACGTGGAAACCTGCGCCTGTGGGAACCAGCCCGAGGTCACCCTGCGCCCAGGCCGAGTTGTACGGGGCGGCTCCCCCTTTCGTGTTTCTTAAATGCCGCGTTACGTTTATTTTAGTCAAGCTGCATGTAAAGGTATCACGTAAAAAGAACGTGGGTTTGTACCGTCGTCTACCTCGTTATGGATTTTTTGACACTTTTTAATCAGAATGCCACCTCTTAACTGCATTTTCGGTGTTGAAGAGCTGGTCGATAATCGTGCTAATGAAGTGGGGGCAGGGAGTTTGTATGCGGTTGAAGGTGGTGTCTGATGATTTCAAAGCCAGAAATTTTCTTGTGTTTACAAATTGATTCCTGAGTTGAAGACAGGTGGAACAGCTTTACAAAGTCATGGGCATGACTCCAGAAAACACGATGGCAGCAGAAAGAATTACCTTTTGAGGAGGAGGAGGAAAAAGAGGAGGGATAGGTGGAATTCCAGTTGCCTTTACAAAGAGAACAGCACCGGTGTAGCACGATCTGGTACAAATTTATTTTTAATGCACCATTATTAACATCATATTCAAGATAAAAATCCTCTTTACAGTTAGGCTGAGAAAACCATAGTTTTGGGTGTGGATGAAAACTGGTAGGAGGGCACGCATTTGTTTTTCGTATTTGTTCCAGGTAGCATATCAAACAACAAGCAAAGCAACAACATGTAGTCTCATTGAAATATTCCCTTTGGTTCTGTGTTTGGTTCTGCAGAAACTAAATTTTGGGACAGAAGTTAGGTGACTGAAACTTCTGTGAAATTTCATTAGGTGTGTATGTATACACACATAGAAAGCTGTCACTGGATTTACATTTGTGTGCATGTGTTTTTCAATCTTGAAAGAAAAGCAAGGCTTGGTAAGCTCTGTACAACACATTTTTTACTTTTTTTTTTTTTTTTTTAAAATGTTCATGTATTTTGGCAGCAGTTTCCAATGGAATGTCAAGACAGGAAAAGTTTGCCTAGCTGTGCTAGACAAGCCCACTTGGATACATCTGGTATGTTGTTCAAGCAATAAAATAGCTAATAGTGTTAGTATTTGGTAGACATAATTTACAGAGCGCTGTAAATGCACATAGTGCTTTACAGACACAAAATACTGAGGTCCCTGCTGTGAGGCACTTAACCATCTGAAATAAAAGTAATACAGGCAATAACAGTGTAAACACAAGAAGGCATAACGATACGTGATGAAGGTCTTGCCTTCTTTAGCTAATGTTTGCCTTTCTGGCTGTGAATTCAGCTAGACAGGCTGGCCTTCATAATGTAAACTGTCTTGCAAACCAGACAGGTAAAAATGTAATTTAAAAATGAGTAAGTCTAAATTCTGGAAAATAAAGGAAAATCTATGTAAAGATTCCCAGGATTAGCTCTTGCAGCTGCTCTACTTGTGTGGCAGTAATTCAGTTAGATCGTTCAATAACTGTAGGATTAGTCTGTAGGTTTTGCCTCTTGATTTGCCTCAGGAGCAGCTGAGGGAACTGGGGCTGTTGAGCCTGGAGAAGAGGAGGCTGAGGGGAGACCTTACCGCCCTCTCCAACTGCCTGACAGGAGGGGGTAGTGAGGTGGGGGTCGGCCTCTTCTCCCTGGTAACGGGTGATAGGATGAGAGGAAATGGCCTCAAGTTGTGCCAGGGGCGGTTTAGGTTGGACATTAGGAAAAATTTCTTCACTGAGAGGGTTATCAGACACTGGAATGGGCTGCCCAGGGAAGTGGTTGAGTCCCCATCCCTGGAGGTATTTAAAAGATGGGTAGACGAGGTGCTTAGAGACATGGTTTAGTGGTGGACGGGTATGGTTGGACTTGATGATCTTAAAGGTCTTTTCCAACCAAATGATTCTGTGCTTTAAAGTTTGTAGAAGCCCTCATAGTAACAGCAGAATGTTATAGAACTTAGTGGTGCAAGGGCCAGGTTCCAGAAAGAACTTGCGTCACGTCACTGGCCTTTTTGTCATTAATTAATGAAGAACCCACAAGTGTATGGTAAAACTAGCACATTTCAGTCTGAAAGGAACCTTTTCCATGGGTGTTCAAAACCTAGAATAAGATTTCAATGCATCTTTAATTTTCCTTTGTAAAGTATAATGATGTGTTCTGGTTAAAGACATGAAAGATAAGGATAGGAATTAAGTGAATTTAAGCAACTCAAATATTTGAGTACAATATTTTTCGTAGATTAGCTAAAAAGTCCTTTCACAATTTTTCATGTAGAGTAGCTAAGGTAGCTACAGTGAGTTGTTAATTCAGAATCTAATGAACAAGGCTATGATTGTGATTGCTATGCCCCTTTTAATTTCCTCTGCCATTTTCGGATGCTTTTTTTCCTGTGTTAAAGATGCGTTTTTAAGCTCAGTACTGTGTGCAAAACGTGAGTGTATTTACAGAAAACAGGCTGACTGAACAAGGAGAAATGGGGAAAATACTACTCCATGTCTAATGCTGCGAAATGAGCCAGCTAGGCAAGCTGAACGTTCACACAAAAATAAAATTGCGTATTGTGACAACCACAATAAAATTTGGTGGTGTGATAACTGCAGATTTTTTAAAGTATGGGATTACAATGGCTGTTTTACAGATTTTTTTCACAGGGGAAAAAAGTTAACTTGTAAACAGAATCTTTTGGACAGGATTAAAAGGAGCTTTTGTTTTCTTCAGTGCTGCATGTGGTTGTGTGGCTGCAGTTGTCCATAGTCTAGGAGTGGCAGAGTCAAATTAAGAAGACGTCATTTGTTTTGTTCTTGGTTCTGGGGATGCTGTGACAGTCGTAGAACTGCCAGTAGTTCACAGCAGTGTGATTTCACAGGTTAGGAGGAAGAAAAACAGTTGCAGAGGTAGGTGTTGGAGCTGTGGTTGGGGCAGGTAGAGGGAGAATTAAAAGTATCAAAAGAAATAGACTAAAAGGGGATTAATGTGGTGGACATACTGATACAGCCTTAGAAGGCAGGGAAGAGATGCAAAAGTCTGGTGACCTCCCACGTCCTCCATAGTCAGGGGACTGCAGGGTGGCACCATGCATCAGAGAGATTTCGTTAACTGAGATGGTTTCTTGAGATGCATTAGGTGTTAGCTAGTGATTGGGTGATACAAAATTTGTGGGGGGTTGTGGCCCGTATCGCAGATGGCACCTCGTTAGAACATGAGGAATCCTTCCCAAGCACCAGCAGAGGCACAAGAGTTGGACTTAGTGTTTCAGTATGTCACCTTGATCTTGCTGGATGACCTCAAAGTGCTGACCTTATGTATTAACTGTATACAGGTATACATGTGTGGATAAAATTGCTAAGACCTGTTGTCACCTGATACGTTTTTACCTTTCAGTAGAGTATTTTTAATCTATTTGTAGCAATTACAAAGGAGGAGAAATGGTTCTTTTGAAAGTTGTAGTATGCAGCTAAAACAGTTTGAATGAGAGGTGCCTGTGTACGTGTTTTTATTTTCTTCCTGCTTTGTGTCTTGGTGCCTTTCAGTGGACTAAGACAGCACTGAACAAACTTAACAGCTATGCTGGTTGCTTCTAGGGGAAACCTTAATTCTGAATGTTCAAGTCTGAATATAGAATCACCAGATTGTTTTTTCTGACGAAGTAGACTGTAATATCTTCTAAATGAGAAGTAGACAAGAGAGTGTGGTTTGGGGTTTTGGGGGTTTTTTTGATGCAGCAGTTGTTATGATCCTTTATTGCAGTTACGTTTTCCAAAGAGATAACCTAGCTCTTAATATGTCCAGAAAAAAATCAAATTAAGCTTGACTAATATCTTTTAATTCCTAAGAAACGGTAAAAAAACTGCTGCAATGAGCGCACAGAGTTTTGTATAATGCTGATAAAAATGGTGAGCTCAGTACTGGATCATTCATATTCAAAACTAAGAGTCTGGTTTTCTAAGAGGGATATTGGCAAGAAACCCAGACGTTTTGTTTTTTAAAAGCTTTGGTTTATCTACATTCTACCTAAACAACAGGAATGTAAAAAGTGTTTACCAAATTCTGTTTGGTCTAGGTCATTCATCTTTTGGTACAAGAGAGAGAGCAGCACTTAATTTGAATCCTCGTGATGTTTTTTACAAAATTAGATTAAAAAAGCAAACAAACCTGTAACAAAAAATTAACAAAACCTGAAAAATAGCACTTCAACTCTGTAATGACTAATTCTATTTTTGTTTATTAAATTTGGAACTAGTCTTTCACAATCCTAATGCACTCGAGTTTTTGTGAAGCATGTTTATTAAATGCTTTGGGATGCTCGAGGAAAGCCAATACATAAGTAGAAATGTTATTCCTTTAACAACAATACAGAGCCAGTATTTAATACGGTAAAATGGAGTTTGGAAGAGAAATCTAGTACTTTATGGGTTTGTTTATTAAAAACCAATACTGTCACTCTTGGTTAAACTTAAAATGCTGTTTTGTTCCTCTCGTAGGAAAACTATGAGCGAATGAAAGCACTGGTAACCGAACTTCAAGAGCAAGCAGAAAAAATCAGATTAGGTAAGTATGATAGCCTAGATTTTAGAACACTTTTTTGATTTGGTCCAAAACCCAGTTTTGTTCATTGGATTTTTTTTTTCCCCTAAGGCTGTACTTTCATTAATCAGTTCGTTTAGGTACAACATATTTGCTGGACTATAGTAGTCACGCTGAAATTTTAGCTCATCTGTTTAAATCCAGATTTACCATCTTCTGTCAGTTGAAAATCTTAAAAGGTTTACGTCCAAGCTAACTTCGTTCAAATTCAAGAGTTTTTGTAAGTAACTCAGGCTAGCTAAGAAAAACGTCCATACCATTAGCACTTCTTTGTTTAGCACAGTATCTAGAGTGTTAACACATTTTTTTGTTTGCCAGTTGAATATCAGAGCAATATGCTAGTGCAAGCAAATCCATGAATTACTGGAAACAGACATAAATGAAAGCAGGGCTGATTTAGTCGAACAGAAGATTAATTTAATTGCCAGAGAGGCAAAAAGTAAGCAAGTAAATAGTGAAAACTGAATATTTAGAGTTGGTAAATTTTTAATCAATTAAGATCTTAGTAATCAATGGAATGTATGTTTCTAATGGTAGTATTTTTTTAAATAGATAGGATTATTAATAAAAGGCTGTTACTGATACACTTTCCACTTCACCTGCTTCCTTGCTTCATCCACTGCTGCCTACTTTTATAAGAAACTGGTTTGGCAAATGTGCTTCTGTTCAAGCTGCATGTTGGTCTCTTCATGTGCAAAGAGGATTTTCAAAGACCCTAGCTGTAGTTGCGCTGGCAAACAAAAGCAAATGTGTAATAGTTTGAAAGATTGAAATCTGTGTTTCATCTTCTTGACTTGTAAGACTACCTGAATTAACTGCAGTTGACTATAATTAATGGGGACAATAAAATGAAAATGGTGTCTAAATTATTAACTCTGCTGCCCGAGGTTGAGCATGCGGCTTTAATTCTCCCCTTCTTGTGTCATCACGATACTGTTTTGTCTCTTCATATACTCCTTCTTAATATAAGTCAATTTCTTTTACGGCTTTGGGTCTGAGCACAGCTAAGATTTTGTGCTTAGTGTTTCTTCTTGCTTCCTGCGAAACAAAGTTCCAGTATTTGCTGAGGTGATGCTGAAACCTATGGACCACCTCTGTCTTTTATGAGTGTAGAGACTGTTTAGCAATTTCCTGTGTGGCTCATGAACTAATGATCATGGTCTTCACCGCTGCACGTTTTCCTGTTCTTGCCCATTACATGACAACAGCACAAGAACATGGCCCTCATCTTTTCTCCATCCTGGGGAGCTCTACTGAGGTGTTAATACACCATTTTGAGTGACATCAATGCCTTGCGTGTCATTTAATTATATGAGAATAATTAGGTACTTAAGTTGAATACTTTTAAAGGATAAGTTCAACTTTTTTTTTTCTTTGTAAGCACTGTCTTACAGAGGATGAGCTCTTGTTTGATGTCTTTGTAATAAATGCTTAATTCTTCAACTATTACTTTAGTGGGTGGGGCTTTTGTGAACCCATATCTCATTCTACCGAGTAATCCCCAGCTGTGCAACAGGAAGATGGTCCCTGCCCCAAAGAATTCACAGGCTATGATAAGTTACAACAGATGGATTTGTGATGACAAGTACAAGAAGCAACTGAGATACTTTTAGTCTCTGTGACTGGCAGCAATCATAGCACATCAGCAGTCACAGTGAATTTTTTATAGACATTACTCTAAAGGAGGAATTTAAGAAGAGATTTCAAATTAAATGCCTCCAAGTTTGTTTCATTGTCAGGGACAATGTCTCACAGTCTACAGAATGGAGGCTAGCAGAGGGTAGAGCGAATGTCTTGGTCTTGGAAGAGAAAAGCTCGATAGAATGGCTACAGGGCCTGAAGGGCAAGCATTTACAAATTAATGTGTGGAGAGGTTGAGTACACAGAGATGACAAAAATCACAGGATGGAGAATTTGTTTTTTCAGCATCACTCCGGGTGTGAATGAGAAAGGCAAGAGGGAGGTCAGAGAAAATGTTATAGTTACCATGATGTGGGATGTTGAGAACTTGATGAGAGTATTAGCTCTGTGGGTGGATATGAGAGGTTGTATCTTAAGAAACTTTTACAGGAAGAATTTACAAAATTTAGACTTAGGCTAGATATAGAGACCTAATGAACAGGCTGACTCAGAAATAAATTGTGGGCTTTCTGGCATGCCTAAAACAGGTAGGAAATGATGTGCATAGTGATCAAGGAAGGAGGTAAGAGAAAGGGCTTGAAAGGTAGGCTTAAAAGCTCTGTTTCAGTGGTGCTTAGCTGACAAAGAAATCTTCAAGTCTCAGGAGAAAGTTTAGCAAAACAGCACCTTCTTTATTTTGGACAGGGGAGACAATTTTAGAGTGATGAGGTGGATCAGTGATCTGTCTACATAGACAATGTTTGTATAAGCTATTGTTATAAAGAGGCTGAGGTGTGTCAACAGGTCTTAAGCATTGAATGACATAAAGGTCTAGAGAGCAAAAGGTAGCATTTAGGATGACCTCGAGTAAAGGGTTGAAATGAAGCAAAGGTAAACTTGATATTAAAAGCTGTGTGTCTGAACTCTACTTACAGTTTTGCAGTGATCTAAGGATATGAATCCAGATTGTGTTGGGTTTTTCAAGATTGGATTTGGCAGAGCTATTTCGAACCAATTTTGGGGAACAGTATTTTTTGTAGTTCTCACTGCTGTGCTTTTGTGTGTTTGCGTTTTCAACCCTTCTGTTCATTGCCAGGCAGTGGGGGAAGTTTCATACAACTGCATTTATTGAAGTCTTTACCTCAAGACTAACTGTTAAGAACAAGGGAGGAGGTGGAGTAGATTATGAAAAGCAAGCATTTTTATCAATACCTTAAATCTGCTTGAAGTGAAAACCATTATTTATTAAATTCATTATTAAGGTCCATACTTCAAAAAGTGGGAACTCATCGGTGCTTCCATTCTAAGTTTTAATATAAGTGGTGATTTATTATCTGTGTCCATAGTAAATCTAACAATTTACTATTGTATCACAGGAGGTGGAGAAAAAGCTCGTACGCGTCACACATCAAGAGGAAAGCTGTTACCCAGAGAGAGAATTGACAGGCTTATTGATCCCGGGTAGGTACTTTCTTTTTTTAAAAAACACTTCGGGTTCTCTTTTGCATCTAAGTACTGCAACAGGCTTGTTTTCTCTTTAGTTTCCATAAACACTGGCAAATAACATGGTTGAAATTTTACAGAAGTGTTCTTTGAAATACTAATCTGTTTTTTTAAAAAAAAATTTAAAAAATTTAACCTTTTAAGTGAGAATCAATAGCAAATATAGCAAATTAATTTTTAAAATTATGTTGTATTTGTCATTATTCAGGTCTCCGTTCTTGGAGTTCTCCCAGTTTGCAGGTTATCAGTTGTATGGTAATGAAGAGGTACCGGCAGGAGGCATTATCACAGGCATTGGACGAGTATCTGGGTGAGATATACCAGTGGTCTACATTATTGATGATATGAAAAGGAAGAAGGTATAATTTTGTTTAGTTTCCAGCATTAAGCTATTAGCATTTTTAGTGTTTTGTTTCTGACACCCAAAAAATCAACAAAGTTGGTATCTGAATTTGTTCAGTCTTGGCTAAAGGGAGGGATTTTACATTTATTTTTTTAGCCAGTGTATCCCCTACTAAAGCAGAACACCCACAGTGTTTCTGGTGTCTGATGAAGGAAAGAGATTACTGCATCAGTAAGGCAATTTTCAAAAAAACAGGGTGGTATTCTAGGCTAAGAATTAGTTTTGCTCACTAAAAGTACCTCCAAGACTATTGTTGAAATTCAATATGATGCTGTACAGCATTACTTTAGGGAGTTAAGGGACTGTGAAAAAGGACATCATACTACTGAGGCTGATGTTACAATGTGCATTTGAGGGAACACAGGTGAGGAGGGCTATTTCTGAGCATCAGTGCTTCAAGAGTCCTTGGCATGTTGCAGTTCTTAACCAACAAACACTCACTAGAAATATTTTTCTCTCTCATAAACTTGTTTTATTTTTAGGGTGGAATGCTTGATTGTTGCTAATGATGCAACTGTCAAAGGTGGTACCTATTATCCCATCACTGTTAAGAAACATTTACGTGCTCAAGAAATTGCAATGCAAAATCATCTCCCTTGCCTATATTTGGGTAAGTCCCATTGCAGAAATAACAAATTACTTTTGTTAAGCGCAGCTCAGGATCTCTAGATAAGACACTACTTCTTTAAATAATTATTGTTGAGACTGATGTGTCCCCAGATTTGACTAACAGGGTGTGTATTTTAGACACACATATTCAGCTGTATTTTCCTCAGGACTGTTACCTCCGCAGATTGGTGGCAAATCTTAGCTATCTTCTGCACTGCTGTAGGACTGGGTTCATAGGATACAGATAAAACTATGCCACTGCATCAATTCTTCCTTATTCCCTTCCAACCCTTGCCATTCTGTGATTCCTTTGCCTTCCGTCACGCTTGAGCAATCCATCCTATAGTCTCATCCAGTCTTAATTCAAACTACAATTTTAAAAAAAAGAAGTTACTTTGCATTTTGATGGAGCATGTAGCTGCATGAAAGCACATACCAAAAAAATAAAAAAGTGTCAGGGCCAAAAGTGTCAATAATAGTTTCGACGAACAGATTTTTAGAATTTGGGACGAATTTTACTGAAGCAGAAATTTCATTGTATATTATTTTGCATTTTGCGTTTAGTCTGTCAAATCAGTATTTAGCCAAACCTTCATGTAAGTTTTACTTATGTGTACTTTTATTAAAGATTAATATCAGAGTGCCAGATGTCTTTACTATATTACAGGTAGTATTTTCTTAGCCTGATCTTGTACAAATACAAGAGCTTTCTGCCAGTGTCTGTCTCAATTCCCAATCTAATAACTTTTGAACCCCTTAGCCAATTTCAGCCAGTTTTGACAGATTTAAGAGACTCTGTATTCCTGAGCATCAGAGGAGAAAGACCTTTCTACTATCACCATTTAAAAAAATAGGGCACGTTAGTCATTGTCTGTTCTGCTTGGCTTGGCAGCTTACGTAGCAGTGGAGAGGTATTAATTGGTTTGCCAGTCCAGATGCTTGTACTAGTTAGATAGTCATCAGAAATGTAGGTCCTGGCCAGCATAAGCGTTTGTAATATCTTGCCCTGTTGATAGGCCTAACACACAAAGAATATTGAGAGAAGGATTAGGAGAAATACGAACTTAAAAGTATTGGTGGGGCCGGTACAGGAACAGTGTGGGTGGGGACTTTGTGGGATTGTCATACTGCAATGAAAGGAGTCTTGGAGGCAAGGGGAGAGCTGAATTTTGTCTTAGTCACGGAATACAGAAGAAACTTAACTTTACTGTTTGCAAAACATCAGTATGATATTTTAGTTTGAATTATTAGCATATTCTATCAGTTTAGAAAGGTCTTATTTTTTTGGTGAGTTACCAGTGAGAAATTATGTGTGATTCTACTGTTCTGAGATCTTAAAGAATGAGGAACTGTGGGACATAGATATGCCTTTGAAACAAAAGTTTCTCTTTTTTATTCCACCTTTGAGTTGTATAGTCCCTGTGTATATACTGCTTGTAACTCAAACCTGGTGAATTATTTTACCTTTGCAGTTTCTGTACCTGGGCTTGTTTCAGTTCATTTCAGTTATGCAGTCAAGAGGGTGTGCTTTGTAGGTAGTCAGCACTTTGCTGAGTGTGTAATTTTCATGCCATTTGAACTGCCTTTTCCCTCAGTGGTAGCTGCCTAGGTGTTAATTCTCTGATGTGGACACTCGCTGCCATTTGTCAGTGAGTCAGTCACTGCTGTGGGCCTTTTATTTTGTGTTCAGGGATGGCTCATTTCACATCATTAGTATGTTGACCAGGTTGGGTTTTGTCTAGTTGCCAGAGTTGATGCTGGTTTGGGAGAGTGGTTCTGCAAGGGCAGGGCAAAGAATCATAGTAAAGCTGAATGTAGGACATTACTGGCTGCAGTAATGCAACATGAGAATTTGCCCGTGGCCTGCTACAGGAGCCAGAGTCCTCAGAGATGCTTGGCCTCCATATGCATTTCTTCTAGTCATCTGTCCTTCTTTGGAGTCTTAAGGTATGATGTATTTTCATTATTTGGGAGTGGAGAGGTAGCTACATTTGGAGACCTGTAAGCTGGAGGGCACATCATGAGGCAAGGACACATAATAAGTGAAGGTTCCTAAAGATACTATGAGGTCTTCAGTATGTCTGTATAATCACGGGGTATGAAAGTACACGTGCTATACCTCTTGAATTCAGTGGTGGTTAGTCTCACCCTTTTCTGGAACTTGCAACAGGATTGCAATAGAATAATCAAGTTAAAATTGTACATTGAAAGTGTTTAAATGTTTTGTAATAAGATGAGTTTAGAAGTTTTTATAGGGAGGTACAGTTGCATCTCTAAGCACATCTGAATTTATTTTCCATTTGGGATGGATGTTACTGGGGGGTGATGTTACTATTTTTCTTTTTTTTTTCAGGAAGAATATCATAATATACCTGGATTCATGGAAATACATACAGTGTTAGTGATAGTGATTGCTGTATATTTTAAGTAATGTGCAGATACTTTACCAACAACTTCAGTATATAACACTGTTCAAAGACATGTTAATGTATTTTCATTCGCTGTAGTTGATTCAGGAGGAGCAAATTTACCGCGGCAAGCAGAAGTATTTCCAGATCGAGATCATTTTGGACGTATTTTCTATAATCAAGCAGTCATGTCCTCACAAGGAATTCCACAGGTAATTTGCTTTTAGTTAAGAATGAAATGTACTAATTAGTTTTTAAGCTTGCTGCCTTTATCTGGGTTCAAGGCTTGTAGCCATGCTTTGTTTTTGACAGCGCTGTGTCGTGCTGACCTGATGGCCCAGTCTGGGAATTGGAGGTACTGTAAACACAGTAACTGTCCAGAAAAAGTCATTATAGTTTTGAAGAAGCCATATTCTTTCTTGGCCTTAGTGTTAATGACATGACCTACCTGCTCCTTTCTTGGAGTGGGAGAAAAAGGGACTTGACAGCATGATATGCAGGGCCATGTGAGGAAGCAGTAGGAATTCTCTTGGAACGGTTGATTATTCTGCATCAACACTACAAAGGTGAGGACCCCTTTGATGATGGTTAGTAAATGAGACATACTTTCTACTAACAGGGGTATGTGTGTATTTATATATCCATTTTATACACTGGTGTGCTGTATGATAAAACTGCCCTAACAATGAGGTTATTTTCTAATGTATTAATGATGCATAGAATTACTGTTAGTCACAGTTCCTGGATTTAGAAGTGGGTTTATGTCATGGGTATTTCAGGAGCGCACTGGGGTCAGTTTTTTGACGCAGGTGGCCTGCCTAGGGGACATACACTTCTGGATCTATTACTCATGACGAATGTAGAACTGTTTGAGGATGTGATTGCTGATGGCAGCCTTGGCCACAGTGAAAGTGGAGGGCAGAGTATAAGGTTCATCATATAAGGATGGAGGTGAGGAAGGCAGGTAGCAGGATAAAGGCCCTGGACTTCAGGAGAGTAGTTTGGGGCTTGTTAAGGGAACTGTCAGCAGGGACCTGTGAGAGGCTGCCAGGGAGGGCGGAAGAGTCCATGGTCTTTGAAGATAACCCCCTCCAAATAAAGGAACACTCCAGGAAAGCAGATGACCAGGTTGTTCCTGCAGAGCTGCTGTCTAGTCAGTCAACTCCCAGCCTCTTGATATGGTTGTGTAGCCCTCTCATATACGTTCACAGACCAAAGAATTCAAGCTTGCTTAACTGTTCTTCCTACAGAAAGTGTTCCATACCTTTGATAGTCCTAGTTTATCTCTTGTAAACCTTTTCCCATGTCTCATACCTTTTTAGAGATGAAGGAGCCAGACTGCACTAGTCAATGTGTCAACTAACGATGGAGAGATATATATATATAAAAAAAATAGCATAATGATATACACTGTTCTCTTTTCTATTCCTTTGCTAGTACTCCCTAACATCTTTGATTTTTCTGACTGCTGAGCAGTGAGCTGGCATTTTCACTGAACGATCTTAATTTCAAGAGCCTGCTCCTAGGCATAGTTGTCAGTTCAATGCCTATCACTTTATATTGGCTGGCTGAAAGAAGGTGAAGGAAATTTTAAGAGTATTCCACCTGAGAAGAAAAATTGTTTTAGAACATTATTAGGCTTAGAAATAGGTGTTGGAACCTCAAGCAGCGTAAATGTTTAGCTAACTTGCTGTTTCATCTGAGTCCTGTCATGGAAGTATTTCACCACTGTATTATTTATTTGACTATTGAACTCATCATTAATGTAAAGTGGAAGTAGGACTTTATTTTCTTTATTCTTACCAATATCTGTCATTGAGAGGTATGGTTGGCCTGGAACCATTTTTAGTTACTTTCTGTGAGAAGATGTGCTTGTTTGAATCTCCTAGTCCAAAAGGAGGAGGAAGAAACTAATACTTCCTTCCAGTGTGAAGCAGATGGACTGCTCAAGGATACAGTATTCCATCTGTCTCCTCCTTACACGGCAAACCCTGGCTTTGCATGGTTTCTGGAAAAACTACATTTGTTAGTTACCTGGATGCCTTTTTGGCACATTTTGGAAGCAAGTCAAACTTCAAATCTTCAACCATCTTTTTCTCTACCAAAGAATCATAAAATCCATTGCTTCCAGAGAAATCAGAGGCTGAAGATTCCATCAATACACCAAATTTCTTTAGAAAGTCTGACATAATTTAACTTCTGCAAGTTCTTTCCACAAATAAAAGTGAAGTAACTGTAGCTATTAGCTAGGTCTCCAGAGGAAAAGCACTGTTTAATTAGAATAAAAATACTTAAGAAAAAGACAGTTTATGAGCTGGCCATCCTGCAGAGTCACTGATAGGTGTATGTTGCACTTTAGATTTATATGTGTGAATAACATTGGTCCCAGCACTTTTGTGGAACAGCAAGTGTCAAAGGAGACAATCACAGGGCTGTTTTGGTGAATTATGTTTTTAGGAGAAGTTTTGGTAAACCTTATTTTTGCTAGAAACTCTAATCATTAACTGGTACAGGAATAATGATTTTTACATGTTAGGTCAAAGATGGGTATGTGAACCCAGTTTGCAAGGATGAAGTTAGGCACGACCTTTCTAGAAATGCCTGGCCCTAAAGTCATGCTGGTGTTTTCCGCAATATCTTGAAACAACTTTAACACACTTGCAAAGTTCCTTGTAAAGTTGAATTTGTTTTTATTTCAATTACCATACAATGTTGCATTAAGAGTAGCATTGTAGTTCTACACAATAAAAACTAAGTGCAGGAAAGATTTGCTTTTTAGTAAAACACATTTCTGTTTGGTATGACACTGCTAAAAGTTTAACTTTCTTAAAATATTTATAGAAGATTGGGAAAAATGTTTTAATGAAGTGCTTCCTTCATTTAAAGGATGCAGTATGGGTGTATTTTGTTTGGGAGATGCTTCTATTCTTTGTTTCATTTCAGAAAGGCACTATTAACATCTGTAAATCTGCTACTGATTCTGTGCTAACAGATTGTGGTAGCTAGAATCATCTTCCCTGTCTGAGAGGCTGTTTCATTAGGAAGTTGTGTTTGGAAATGCTGCTCCCTCTGATTTCCATTCTGGTTAATTCTTCTGACACAGGAGTCTGGATGTTGTTAGATTTTTACCTGCTGTTCTTTGTTGTGGCCTGCCTGAAGGTCTGTTTCATCAGTTCATCAGGCCTCCTCAATTTTCCCCTTAAAGTGCTTGCTTTTGTTTCTTTTTTTTCCCCCACTTGCCTATGGTGCTTTTAATTTCCCCCTCCACTTCTACCTGTGACTAATTTATTATACTCCTACTGCAGCCTTAAATTGCGTTGATGTCTGTGTGGCTGTGAATCAGAAAGCTGTGATTAGCTTCTCATTAGCTGCTTCCTAAGCTCTCTCACACTCATATGCTGCATAGATACAATGGAGTGCTGATCAGCAGCTATGAAATACTGTATGTGCATTCAGAACTGTTGATTTTATTGCAATAAATAATTTTCTATGTAGTAATTTAAACAATAAAGTCAGGAAGTAGCACATTGGTTGGGAATTTGAGGTTGCGCTATTTGACAAGTAGATTTTGATTTTTCCAAGGTGTACATGTTCCAATTTATGTATTGGAAAAAGTAACACCTGAGTTAAAGGTTAAATGCAGGCACATTTTTCATCATGAGCATGGTAAAATTAAGAGTAGGAAAAAACCACAAATCCTAGGAAAAAAGTGAAATTAAATTTTTCCCCAGGTTTGTCCCATTTCTAGAGGGTTATGTTATCTTTGTATTTACCTGGAGGTATTTCTTAAATGCACAACAGAAATACGGCAGATTAATCATGTGACTCTGAATACAGTTTAAGATACTGAAAACTGTTTTGTGGAAAAAGCTGTTTGATTTGATGATAGCAGGTTGACTTTGTTCATCTACTCATGCTTTAGATACACATAATGTGATGTAGAATTTTTATTTCTGTATGCTGTTTTCTTCTAAGAGCAAACATGAAATTATGATTTAACACTGAACACTACTTGATGTCACTTTAGAAATATTTCCAAACAAAGTTAATAGGAAATAACATTATTTTGTGTTTTAATTGGGGGGGTGGTGTTTATGGTTGTGAAAGAAAGCATTAGATTAGACAATTACGCTCTTATTGTCTGCCTTTTCCATATGAGTATTCCATTTTTTTCTGCTTTACAAGCTGTTTTGAAAGGGAGGAGCGAGGAGCTCCCCTGAAGGAGAAGTTACGTGACAAACTTCACTTTCATGATCATACAGTGCTAACAGTATTCATCATGTCTGGGGTCAAGTCAGTTTTGCAAAGTGTCACCAATATCTTCCTGCTAGAAAATGTTCATTGGGTAGATGTTAATCTCAAAATTAGGAATAAGGATGAATCGGTGATTATTTGTGCTAAAGACTGTAATGAGGTATTCCACACGCCTTGAAGAGGCAGCGTTAATTAGTTGATCCATTGAAGAACTGCAGTTACATACAAGTATATATCAGGAATTTTCTTCAAAGGATGTTAACATTGGTGAAATTATGCCAATAAGCAACAACTGAAGCTCTGACTTAAGCGTAAATACCAGGACCAACCTCTAGGTTTCAACCTTTTACCATTCATTGGTAAAAACAAATTTCATGGTAGAACATGCACCCCTTCAAAACTTTCACATGTCGGTCATGGTACTTCATACATGAATTTTCCTGCCGGGTGGCCTGAAGATTAAGAGACTGTTGAAAACCAGAGAGATTCCCTCTTCTTTTGAAGCAAAGCTAAAACATAAATAAAAAGTTTGCTTAGTTAGGAAAAATAATCTTGCAGTGCTGTCCAAGGACCAATATTAAAATCAGTACAATATATAATAGTAGTGTGTGCATTTGCTGTTTTTAAGGGTCATACAATTCATTAACTTGTGGTTTTTGTTTCCCCATTAGATAGCAGTAGTAATGGGATCCTGTACAGCAGGAGGAGCATACGTACCTGCGATGGCTGATGAAAGTATTATTGTTGGCAAACAGGGAACGATATTCTTGGGAGGGCCACCACTGGTAAGGATACAGAAATTTCTAGTAACATAGCCCGAAAAAAATTTGTGCTGCTGACAACTGTATAGCTTAAGCTATTGAGACTTTTCTTTGTGAGGTATTCCCAGATATTCTGAGGATTAGTTTGCATTTTTAAGTATATCTGAAAGTCTATATCCTAAATTAAATCTTTTCTATCTGGTAGAGGTGTGTATATAAATCAGACTTTGTTAAGGTGTTTTTATAGACTGCTTTTAGATTGCCATGCACATTTCAAATTACAAAAAAAGCTTTCCATATTCAATTATGTAGTCTCTAGGTTTGACTTGAAATTAAAAAAAAAAGAGAAGCATGTATATTATATATCAGAGTCAAGATCAGAAAACTTCAGAAACAGGACTGATCTGCTGTATTTATGTCAGTCTGCAGACAAAGGAGATGCACTTATGATGGAGTTTTCATCATTTCCTTACCTTCTAAGTAAGAAAGTTGTTTCTAAGGAAACTGACCTGAAGAACTCCTGTGAATTAAAACTTCCTTTATTGTGGAACTCACAGTGGAATTGGTGACTGTGCAAAATATTGCAGCATAAGACAGCTTTAAAATTATAGTAGCTTGGCTCCAACAGGAAGGGGAGTGCTTGAGTGAGGTTTATTTTTTTTAAAACAGCTGTACCAGTGTATGTTCTAGTGTAGGCTCAGTTCTATACCGATACAAATAATAATCTTTGCTAACAAAGATTATTTTACTTAACACAAGCTTTATGAGAAGAAAGGAATTTCCAGTAGTAAATGTTAATGTTTGTGCTAGAGCTAACACTACGACATCACCCAGCACAACTATTCTAGTCTCAATGAAGTCTGACTGGGTGAGCTTGCTTTTTTGAAATAGTCAACTATTTGTCTCATTGAACAAACTGGTCTAAGGCGGCACATTGGCTCTGTTTTGGTTATAGACTTTTGGGAACTTACAGGCATGCTTCCTGTCACAAAGCCAAGTCACAAAGCAAATTAAATTACTCTCAAAAGTCTTTCCAACTTGAGCAGGCCTAAATGGAGAAATCAATTTGTAACAGCATTGTTAATGAAGATACTTCTCCACTCAATTCCTGTAGTAACAGAGAAGGGGAGTCTGCTGGAAGTCGCTTCTTTCCACCACTTCCCAGGATACTGGGAAGATGTAGCAGGGCCAGCAACCTGTGGGAAGCCAACCACTGACAGATTTTTTTTGTTGACTGGTTCCTAAGGCATGACTGTGTTACTTTTCCGTAAAAGCATGAAGAACTCAGCTGTGATGTCATTTAGTGTTAACTTGTATAGCACTGCTCTCATTTCCGCAGTATGTTTTTGAGTTTCATTCTTTTCCTTTACTTTAGGGTGGTTTTTCCTCACTGTGTCATCTTGATGCCTAAAGTGGATTTTGCATTTTATACCCTTTTTTTCTTCCATAGTTCAATGTATATTTTAAATCTTGTACAGCTTAACAAAAAAGTTTAATTACTGTTCCAGAACATCTTAAAGAAATTCAGAATGTCACTGGCATATCGAAAGCACTGGAGGGGACACACACCTATAAGTACAAGAATACTTTGTTGTATACCATAATAAAATAATGCATTTAGCTTGAGGTATTTTATTATTTCAATGGAGGCTTTCCAAGTTGACAAGAAGAACCAAGTAATCAGCAAAAACAGATGAAGTAATTAATAGCAACTGTGTCGTTTAACACTAACTTTTTTATTGCTCATTAGAATTTAGAGTTCTAGAATTTCTTTGTTGGAATTTCTTTGGCAGTAATTGTTTCAAACATCTTACTAGATCTCTGTTCCTTCTTATCTTGTACCAGTGTATTTCAGCTTGTTTATAGGTGAACAAAGACAAATCCTTCAAAATTAAGTAATTTTCGTTAAATTTGTCACTGTAATTTAGATATTAGGATTTTCATGGTGAAAAGTGGCATAAATATGAATGAGGATATTAGTTGAGGATATTATTAGTTCAGTGAGTAACATGGGGTGATTCATACATCTTTTTATTTGGATAAGGAAATTAGTATGATGAAAGAGATGAACTTTTACATCAGACTGTTATTAGCTTGGTTATTGTGTTACAAACAACCGCCCTGGTTGCAGGAACACCTGAGCTAAGTACAAACCCTTCCTAGGTCCAGCATGGTTCATTAGTTTAGAGCCAGTGGCATATAAAGGGGCAGTCCTGCTGCTGGGGCTTGCTCAGGTTCAGAGTAATTTGTTGCAGAAGCTCAGCTAGTAAATCCGAAAGACCTGAGCAAACTCAGCTTTTCTGATATGGCATTTCCATTGGCGAGAGTGCTGGGGAGGTGCTGTGCACTTCGAGTGATTATGCTTGGAGCTATGTTAGAGCTGGAAAGGTTCATCAGACCCTGGGAGACCCCTTGGGGGCACTGTGTAATGTGTCCTGGAGAGCTTAATCGAAGCCAGTTTCTTTCAAGCTCCAGCATTAAGCAGGTAGAAAACCAGATGGCTAATACCCAGTACTACCCAGGAAGCTGGCTAGGAAGCTGAAAAAAAGGGAAACAGACTCTGTTGTTCTAAGAGGATGGTAATCGTTTAACATCGCAAGGAAATTTAGGTCATACACGTGTATCGCTGAGATGTACTGCAAGAGACTTTTACCAGGATAGGCAGCTGAAAAAGCGTGGCCTGTGTCAGGTCTCAATGGGAAGACTTGGCTAGGCAAGTCTGTGACTGCAAGGATGTTGTGAGGTTAGAAAGGATGAAAACTTCACCACTTCCAGAGGAAGTTTTCACAACTATCCTCCAATTTAATTTGTTCCTTGGCGACCTGCAGATGTAATGGTCCTTATCTTTGTGCGTATAGATCAAACTTCAATTTCACTACCTGTCAGTTTTTTTGTTTGGTAGGGCTTTTCATATTCTCACTGAAAATATTTTGCTTGCCTTTCTCTAAGCATCAAAATTACTTCAAACTCCCACAGAAACATCCGTTCCATGTTGTAGCAGATACTGTAGCCGTTATTGTATACTCTGTTCCCCATATGGAGAAACTTGGACTGGATTTTATCACTCACCTGCCTAAACCAAAACATCTTAAGGAAGTGAAAGAAAATCCCTCATGTGTGTTATAATTAGTCTTGGAACGTGTACGCTAAAAGAAGGTGAATTGCAGGGGCAGTCCAAAATCTAAAGTACAAGTTTCCTTGGCATTCTTTTTAGAAAGGTGAGGAGTAACGACTTCAGAACAGATAGATCTCAATAGTAAGAGAAGTGTCACAGTAGTAGTAATATTTAGGGCCATTCTTCTGCACTCCCCTAAGCTGAGGAATCTATATCCTCACCCTTGGCAATACTGCTTGGTGTAGCTCAGGATGCCATGTTGACCTGTAGCCTTCTCCATCCCATTCCAGAAACTTCTGCTTCTTCTTTCACCAGGGAAAATTTGCTAATTTCTGTGCTGAGCAGTGAAGTAAAAGTGAAAAAAGGATACGTTTGTCCAATTTGTGTACATTTATGTGCTGGGGACTCCTACACATCAGCCTCATCTATTGTGTGAAACATTTGATCTAAAATTTGTGTTCAGTTCTCCTGATGATTGCTAGCCGAAGTAGCTTGAACAAGGATTTTTTGAAAATTCCCACATATCATGTCAAGGCTCTATTTGCAGTCTGTTAGAATTTAATGAACTTTAAGAAGGTTAGTACTATTTAAGCTACGTTTCATAGAATGCTCTATTGCACTGCAGTACCTAGGAAGGTGATGGAACAAATAATTCTGGAAGCTATTTCAAAAAACACTACAGACAAAAAGGTGGCTGCGAGTAGTCAGCATGGATTTACAATGGGGAAATCAGGCCTGACCAAACTTACAGCCCTCTGTGCTGAGATGACTGGCTCAGTGGAAGAAGAGACAGCAGTGGATGTTGTTTATATTAACTTTGACAAGGCTTTTGACACTGTCTTCTGTAAAAACGTCAACAAACTGATGAACTGCAGACTGGGTAAATGGGCAGTGAGGTGGTCTGAGAACTGGCTGAACTGCTGGGCTCAAGCTGCAGGTCAGTCACTAGCGGTGTACCCCAGAGGTCAGCAGCGGGACCAGTGCTGTTTAACATCTTCATTGATGACCTGGCCAGTGGTCCAAAGTTCACCATTAGCAAATTTGCAAATGATAAACTTATGAGTGGTTAACAGAGCAGATGATTATGCTGCCTTTCAGAGGGACCTCAACAGGCTGGAGAAAGGGGCTGAACGGAACCTTTTGAAGTTAAACACAGCAGGCAAATGCTCCTCGGAAGGAATAATCCTGGGCACCAGGACAGGCTGGGGACCAACCAGTTGGGAAGATGCTTGGCAGAAAAGACACAGTTGGTGGACACCATGTTGAACATGAGCCAAGCAGTGTGCCCTTGCAGCAAAGGCAGCCAGCAGCATCCTGGGCATGCATTAGGGAGAGTGTTTCCAGCAGGCCAAGGGTTGTCATCCTTCCCATCTACTCAGCGTTTGTAAGACATGTTTGGGGTGGTACGTCCAGCTCTGGGCTCTCCAGACTACGACAGACATGGACATACTTGAGTGAGTCAGTGAAGGTCCATGAAGATCATGAAGGGATCGGAGCATCTGTGATATGAGGGGAGGCTGAGAGAGCTGGAACCCTTCAGCCTGGTGAAGAGATGGCTCAGGGGGAATCTATCCATGTGAAGGAATACCTTGCGGGAGGGAGTAAAGATAGTAGAGCCAGACTTCTCCTTGGTGCCCATTGACAGGTCAGGAGGCTACAGGGCACAAACTGAAACACAGGAAATTCTATTTGGATGTAAGAAAACAATTTTACTGCAAGGGTGGTCATGCTGAACTAAGTCGTCCAGAGAGGTTGTGGAGTCTCCATCCTTGGAGATATTCAAAACTCAGCTGTACATGGTCATGAGCAATCTCCTCTGGTTCACCCTGCTTTGAGCAGGGGAGTCAGACTAAACGGTCTCCCAGGGTGGCTGACAGACTCCACAACTCTGATTCCGTTATTTGGAGAAGGAAAACTTCACCACTGTGGAAGAGAAAAAAAGCCATTTTTTTAAAGTTTATTAAAATGAGTGTCTAGATTTCTGCGCTAATAGAAATCAGTGCTCTATTCAGATTTGATCAAAGTTCTGCGGTAATCACAGAATCACCATATGCTGTAACTGCATACTGTGTCAGATGCATAAAGAGAGATGTATCGAATTATTTTGTAGAATCATGGAATAGAATCACAGAATCATTTAGATTAGAATAGCCCCTTAAGATCATCAAGTCCAACCATTAACCTAGCACTACCAAGTCCACCACTTCTCTGGGCAGCCTATTCTGGTGCTTGATAACCCTTTTGGTGAAGAAATTTTTCCTTATTTCTCCTAAAAGTACAGTTTGTTGTGTAATGAAGACTCAAGTTAATTATGTCTCTGACAGAAACTTTTCATTAATTAGTACCAGAATGTCACACCTTCATGGGTAGCCATTCAAATTTAAAAGCAAAAATCCTACTAGTGAAGAAATATCTGTACTTAATTTTACAAACTTAACACTTTGGAAGTGTGTGATATATTTAGTGTGATTCATTTTTAGGCATGAAACTTGGAAACTGAAATATGTTTTGGAAGTGATGATAGCTTTCTCTTCCCTTGCCTCTTACGCTACCTTGTACTTGCTGTGTGTGATGAATAATGGTTTCACCAGCTTGCAAGGAATCCTTTTCAAAGCAGTTATGGTAGAGTGGAAATGCATCAAGAAGTTGTTTTTTACCATGCAGTAAATGATACTGCTGTGTTTTGAGAAGGAGTTCACTCATTCTTGAATTATCCTGTCAGGTCTAAGATTTGACAGATATAGAATTTAGATTGTGCATTACAGGTAATTTTATGGAGATATCATACTTGATCCAAACATTTTTATGCCATTAATATGCATTTTTTAGGAAAATGATTCCTACTAAATTATTGTGTGTTGAATGGAAAATTTAGAAAATAAAAACTGCTAATGATTGTTTTATGGTTAATATTTAAATAAATTAAAGTTCACAGAAGAAGAGTTTGTGTGGAGAAAGCAAAGTTGAAGAATGCAAAGTTTTAATTGAGGTATTGTGGTTTAATTGAGGTTTGAAACATTGTGGGAAAGTATCACATTTGAAATCATTTGTTAAGCTCTAAAAAAATTTTAGTGAAAATGCATGCTCATAACCTAAAGGATGTATAAGTATACTCACACTAACAATGGACACAGCAGTAAATACAACAGTAAGTGGAGAATCTTTCTCAATAAAAACTACGTATTAATGGTAGAATAAGGATACATATCAGAGAAATTAATTTTGGCAAGATTCTGTGTTGTCACATTTTAAATGCTCTGAGGGCAAGTGAGGAAATACTAATAAAGAAGCATTTTGCAAAGGTCTCTTCTATTGCTATAACTAAGCCAGTATAAATATTAATGCAAGACAAGCATCAACTCTGAAGTAATTTTCCTTTACTTGTGGTAGGTTAAAGCAGCAACAGGTGAAGAGGTATCAGCAGAGGATCTTGGAGGGGCAGATCTTCACTGCAGGTTTAAAGAAATATTTTCCCAGTTAATTTCTTTCATCCTTTAGACTTTAGTAGGGTGTATTTTATTTTATTTTTAATTTATATTTAGATCATTTTAAAACTCTATTTAGATTTTGAAAATTAAGATTTTCCTTATCTGGTGCTGGTGAATCATTTTATTGTTAGCATAGTTACTTTATGTTACTCTAGTTAGGATCTTGTTTCCTTCATTTACTACTTTAAAATATGTATGTGTCTAATGTACTGCAGCATCATGCCTGATATGAAGGACTTTCCTATACTGTTTAACACTGAGTGTTAATAGAATAATACAGATTCAGAAAGGTAATATATTTTTGTAGATTGTGTTTTTCTTACTGTCAGTTAGAACTAACTATAAACAAAATAAACATAGCTTGTGTTTTTTGTAAGAAAATATTTGTTATCAAAACAAAGAATTTGATGCACTTTCTAGTTTTAAATGAAAGAAATAGTAAAATTAGGTATTACTGTAGAATAAGTTAAGTACTACTGTACAATAAATAAATGCTTAATTTTTACTTGAATTTATTGAAGTGAATGGAGAATTATTTTTAAGGGCATCTCATAACATATCTGTAAACTTACGTTTTCTTTCAAATTTTAAATAAATTTCAAATAAATACTAATTCCCATTTGAACAATGTTTGTCATCTTGAAATTGTCATTTAGATTTTTTACTTTCTAGAGTTGCTGTTTTACGTCATGTCTGGTAAGTTGAATGTACTGTTTCAAAGAAAAGTTCAGGCATGAGTTTTATTTTTAAAGTAATTTCAAAACAAAACGTGGAGAGCTGTGTTGTAGTGTCTGTATCTTAAAGATACATACAAAACTTTTAAAGTCTTAAAGGTTTTTTAAACCTCAAATTTTCATTGTCAGATTTTTTTTTTAAGCCTTCATATTGCTATTGTTATTTATATACAGAAAATCCGGTGTAACAGATCATTATGCTTTGGATGACGATCATGCACTTCATCTAGCAAGGAAAGTTGTAAGAAGTTTAAATCTCCAAAAGAAAGTAGATGTAAGTGTACAGAATCTGAAACACTGCATTGTTTAAATTAGGAATGCTATTCTTTGCCTGACTTGCATGACCCATTTTTTGTCTCTGACTTTAGACGCTTTGAAAATGGAAGTTATGGTTCTTGTCCTTAAAGATTTCTATAATGTTTCTGTTTTACATGCAAGAGTGAAGCAACTACAACAGTGCTTCAGAATCACAGAATTGTGCTTTAAGATTAACCCAGACTTGCAGGGTGCTTAATTTAATTTTAAGCCCACATGATCATTCCCCTGGATTTAAAATTGGATACCTGCTAAAGCATCTTTTTGAATAAACATTTTGTATTATATTAATGAAAGGTATAAAACTGAGGGGATAGACCTAAGTGATGTCATTGTATTGATTTAAAAATTACTTGTAGAAAACAGGATGGATAGCACATGGCGGAGGAATTGCCTTCACTTATTTTGGCAGATGTGAGAGGGTGTATTGAAGATTAAAGCTCAGCAGCTGAAGGAAGGCAAGACGTTGTATTCAGTTGCTTGGCAAAAATCTTCATCATTTTTTTAGAATACTACCTGCCTAATTGGGCACAGGGGGAAAGCAAGCAAACAGGAGGACATGCTTCATTTTTGATAACATGAAAGAAGTGGAGCATGTATGGAGGTATATGCAGGAGTAGAAACAAAGGTAACAGTAAGTGAGAAAGCATTACCAACCTTCAGTTTAAGAAACTTGATCTTTATGCAAGGTGAGGACAAGCCAGTAGAGAGGCAGTTTGATGTGGCTGGGGGGGGGAAGGAGGCAGTTTGATGTGGCTGGTGAAGAGAAGAGTGTGCTCAAAGCAGTTGGCACATGAATAGTTGTTTATTTTTTTTTAAGTCATAATGTGGACTAATAATTACTTTGTTGTGTAAATTGTTTTGTTAAATTGCTACAGGTGACTATAGAACCATCAGAAGAGGCTTTGATGTGGCTGGTGAAGAGAAGAGTGTGCTCAAAGCAGTTGGCACATGAATAGTTGTTTATTTTTTTTTAAGTCATAATGTGGACTAATAATTACTTTGTTGTGTAAATTGTTTTGTTAAATTGCTACAGGTGACTATAGAACCATCAGAAGAGGCTTT